CGTAAAGGCCACTGAAAGACAAAGTCCGCCTTTCCGCCACCTTTCAGCGCGCTTAAATACGACGTAAATATATAAAGACATTTAAGCAAACTTTTCGCATATGTAAAGAAGTATTAAAGGTGGGAAATATTTCAGTTGACTTTACGACTTCGTAAAGGCCTCTGAAAGGCAAATGTTCCGTTTCGTAGCTTGTTTTTTTAACGTCTAAACATGTTCCAAATGGCAAGTAGATAAACGAGTTTATCGCCCAGCCGGCTTCGCACTTTCATTTTGCTTTATTTGTGAAGCATGACAAAACTTACATTGCTTTTATGTCCTTCGCGTGAACTTACAAAGTATCCATATGCAGACACCCAATGAGGAACGTGTCATGTGATAGGGCGGTACCCAATGGGATACAACACAGCGAGGTTCAAATCTACCGGACTCAACTCATTTTTTATGGCGTCTATTTCGAAGACACGTCGACCCTCCTTCTAATTGAGACATTATGACTGAAGTTGAGAATCTCATGGAGCGAGGAAAGGCAAGAAAATTTTCGAATTCTTTAGAATATGTTGAAATTGGTGGAGGCCCAGTCGCAAAGGATCAAGGGGCTTCTAAGCAGCGGCAATGACAACACGACTCTCGGCCCGGCTCGGCCCGTCTGACAACAGCCAGGAGGACGGAGGAGAAAGCTTTCACAAAACGCCGTATACGAGGGAGCTGATCAAATATATGTTTGGAGATACAAGTAGTCAATTCCTTGTATTGGTGAGCTTAGTTTAGAAAAGTATTATTATGAACTGTTTTCATTATACGTAATCTGCAGCTGGGGAGGGATACGTAATAATGTGACAATATAGTATGAGCTAACATCTTGTTCTAAAACTTTTTATTAGGAATCATTGTATTTTGTATGTTTTACTCAATAAATTGTTCTCAGATCATATCTGTTTCTGTCATCATATTCACATATACCGACGTAAGTTAAGGTTATGCACAGCCGATTCAAATGTTCGGAAAGGCAACTTAAAGCTTAAAATTGTCCGTAAACAGTGATTAAAGGAATAGTTTACAAAGCCTTTACGGACATAAAAGGTGCGTAAAGGCACTGTTAAAGTGCAAATACGTATCTTTCCAGTACTACGGAAAGGGCACGTAAAGACAATGTTTACGAGGGACTTAAAGGCAGCTAAAAGACCTCTTAAATTTTAAGTAAACGCATGCTTTCCGACCAAAAAAGCTCCGTAAACAATACTTAAAGGAATAGTTTACAAAGCCTTTACGGACATGAAAGGTGCGTAAAGGCACCGCTAAAGTAGTGCAAATACGTATCTTTCCAGTAGTACGGAAAGGGCACGTAAAGACAATGTTTACGAGGGACTTAAAGGCAGCTGAAAGACCTCTTAAATTTTAAGTAAACGCATGCTTTCCGACCAAAATAGGTCCGTAAACGATACTTAAAGGAATAATTTACAAAGCCTTTACGGACATAAAAGGTGCGTAAAGGCACCGCTAAAGTAGTGCAAATACGTATCTTTCCAGTACTACGGAAAGGGCACGTAAAGACAATGTTTACGTACACGGAAAGGTGCGTAAAGATGGAAATTACGCCGCCTTTAAGCACGATTTAAGCATGATTAAATATGGTTTTTCGTGCCGTGTCTATGCGGAATGAAATGTAATTATGGCTTCACCACACCACGAAGTGGTTGTGTTCTCTTGTGACATATTGTGTTCTCTCTTGTTTCTTCTCCTCCTCCTCCTGCCATTTCTTTAAAGGGATTTAACTCTGCCATTTTTCAGCCAAATACCCTAAAATGGAGGTAGAGTGAGCAAATATCCCCAGGCTTTTTTTTATTATTTCTTTGGATACAGGCTTTTAAAATTGTTTTATTTGTTTTTGGGAGGCCATTTTCTGAAAAAAAATCTGTACATTTGGGGTCCTGGAGACCTAGTATTACACTCAAATTAGCTGAAATTTGGCATGGGTATCCTTTATATATCTACCCACAAAAATTCATTATAACTTTCGGCATGCACCCCTTTAACAGCCTCCTTTGCGGCTTTCCGGAAGCGGCCGACTTTTCTTCTCTTGTTTGATAGGGCATTCTAGGGTTGGTGGCCGGAGCTTCTATTACATTTGTATATTGTCATTATAAATGCGTGCGATATCTACGTTTGATCAGAAAATCGTGCAAGTTGCAAATATGCATCAATTGATGCATCAGAAAGCACCAACTGAAAGACGCTTTAAGCAAGCTAATGCGCCACACATCTGCATGGGGATTAGAGTGAAAAACTCGCGCCAGCAGAAAAGTCCTAACACACAGACTAGCCATCCATCCTCGTTAGGTTCAAAATCGATCAGAGTCACTGGCTCCATTACCGTTGTCCAAAAATCGCTTGTTCCCGCCTTCCGTTTTCTGTATATATATATAGCCATGCACACATCGATTTCTGTCTCATGGGCTAACAAATATCCTTCCTCGTCTTTTATATCCAGTTACCGTATGATTTCCTGATTTTCTGTGGAGGAGAGACATCAATAACATGTGCACTTTCAAAAAAAATCCTGTCCTCCAAACAACCAGCCATACTCTACAATCAACTGTGCCCGGTGTCACATCAACACACAGAACCAGATATGCTACTCGGAACACCTTCAAACTAGACAAACCAAAAACAAACAGCACTAAAAAAGCCTTCACATACAGAACTACTGCAGCATGGAACTCTCTACCACATGGGCTGCAAAGTGTCATCACATGAGAAGTTCAAACAAGGCCTACTAAAACACATGAGGGACATGAATAGGTAGAGCACATAAGATGTTACACACTTGTTTTCTTTTAAAATACTATGTAATGTAAATGTATATGTATATGTAATTGTATGTGATGTATTGTTATGTCTTATGTACCCTCTCCTGGAAGAATAGCTGCCACCCTCGGGTGGGCAGCTAAAGGAGAGCTTTTCCTCAATAAACCTCAATAAACTTTTACCATGCACGATGCGTGTTCAACGCATAGAACAAACGAACTCTTGGGTGCAGTACTTACTTCTGACGCTAGGTTTCACCTCAGATTCAAGGAGCTTCGGCCTCACATGCACACAAATTACTTTTGGACACACATTTGCACTGTTATTCCGAAATTTGAAATAATGAGCTGTACTATTGTAAACGGTTGAATTTGCGAAGTTCAAGATATTATTAATATCATACATTATGGGGGCTGAGTAACACGTAGCCTCTATCAGGCTTCGGGAGGCGGCTGGAAACAGTAGAAATTGACCAAATTACATTGTACATGTAAATACTAGTAGATCATACGAACGTGGGGAAGTTGGTCCGGGTGCGGCAATCGACTCTCTCAAGCGGACCAACTTCCCAGGCGTGTTATCTCTCTATTTGGCCAATTTCTACTCTTTCCAGCCGCTTCGGAAGCCTGACAAACTCTAACTTGAGTAACTCGGCCCACGGGCACTACAAAGAATCAGAGAAAACACTGCTTTTGGATTACCGGCAGGTACTCTACAAAACAGAAAACGGCAACAGTCACTGTTGCCATTTTCTGTTTTGTTGAGGGAACAGTTCTCCTCAGTCTTTCCCTGTAGTCCAAAGCAGGATTATCGACCGCCTCCCTAGATCCTAACCACAGATAATGTGGGCGCTGTCACTCAAGCAGAACGTAATTGTGATGACGCACAGACCGACCAAACGTCAATGCGTCGTGACAATCTCAGTCTGCTTGTTTCCTGCGTACAAAATTGCGCGGCGATGCGGACACACTTTGTTCCCGAGCTTTTGCTTGCTAAATGCCTAGCTGAGTTTGATAATGATTTACTAGTCCAAGTCCAGAAAAACAGCCGTCTTTATAGTTACAACAATTGAAGTTGAATTGGATGTATCGGCAAATGATATATTTTCAAAACGACAAAAAGGAGGATTCCTGTATTCAACTAATTTCTCTTTTCCCAGGGGATATACATTTGGGGATATACATTTGGGGACGTTATACAAAGCTACATGTTCAGGAGAGACTGTTCAGGTATTGTACAATATCATGCACGTGGAAATGAAGTACATTAACCTCCTTGATTTCATCTTCCCTTTTGAAACGGAAAGAAACAGTTTTGAATTCTGAAACAGTTACCACAAACACGTCTGTGATGTATGAAATATTTTTGACCGGGTTTTACATTTTTACGTTTTGGTGTCTGTGCGTTTTCTTGCAATTAGACTTGGGGCACGAGTTTGCAAATAAAGATTAATTGCAAAAGTATGTACGCTGACGGTGGACCATCTCAGAGCACTTCAATCTAAACTTGCACTTGTATGAAACATTTTAAACTTATCACTGAGCTTTATCAACTGAATTAGTTTTAGTAAAGTTTTGATGATCTTAAAAGTAAGGTCATCATTGCATCATATTGCATCTTGAAAAAAATTCACACCTGGAAGATTTTAATGTTACCGGTAAGCTTTTAGACACTTTAAGACGCAGTTTCAGTTCGCTGTACATATATCTTTCTTAAATTCAATTTTGACGTGACTAAGAAGACAGCCCGATAAAATCATAAAGTCACCTTGCATCATCTTGCATCTTGTACACGTCTTGGGCGTGACCCCTTGCTCACCCCACGGCACACTGCGCACGCGCGCCGAGACGCAGGAAATCAAAATGGCGGCTTGTCGTCAGCGCGGTGCTGCTGCTGGAGGCCCTCGCGGCCCCAACAAGCTGCAAGTCGGCTACTACGAGATCGAGAGGACTATCGGCAAAGGCAACTTCGCCGTGGTGAAGCTGGCCAGCCATATCATCACCAAAACTAAGGTAAGGGAGGAGGAACCCTCGCTTCGCGCGCGATCGATCAGGAGAGACGGAGCCGTGTGTGTGTATGTGTGTATGTGTGTGCAGTTTCCCCCTGGCGAGGTGAAGTTTCCAGCTGCTTGCAGCTCTCAGATCGACAGAGAATTCTACCTCAGGGATGACCCTGCGTACAAATGAGTCTCGGTGACACCAGGAGAATGTCACAGGTCCACGACAAGACACTGCAAACCCGGCGGTGCCGCCCACATTTTGCTTCCAGAGGCGGTGTTAGTTTAGGTACGGGACCGATCAAGCCTAACGCGGAACTCTCTTCAAAATATTGAGAGCAGAACCTGCTATTTCACATCTCGCTGTCGCGCGATGATTTTCCGCTAAGTTAAACACATGATGAAGGACCTGCTACCTGTCGATATGGCCTGCCATATGGCGATACATCACGCACTAGGGGGAGGTATACATGGTTTTATGTGTCCGTGCATTTTTTTGTACAGAGGAAGGGTTTTTTTTTTTACATGAAGGCTGCATTGACATTCATGACGCCACTGCTGACGCCAACTTGTTCAAAACAAATTTCACTCAACCTTCTGAGGCAAAACCAGCACGGGACCTTCATGATTCCGCATTTTTCTATAAGAAAGACGTCAAGCTTGAGTTATCCTCCCAACACCCACTATCGTTTCCCTTCTTTCATACTAAACAAGATCGCAATCTATTTTATATACAGGTTACGCTTGTCTTCAGACACATTCTCAGTCTGATAAAAGATAGTGGATGCTATCTGAAACGTCTGTCTTTAGAAAATTTATCCAGTGGCATGATTCATTTTGTATCATGTAAGGTTTGAATCTGTATAATTCGTTCCAATCTTGCTGTCTGTCCAGTTGTTATTTGTTTTTATTGGTGGTTGTATGGGTTTGGTAATCGGATCAATCTGGAGCTATGGGTGTTACTGGTTTAGGTAGCAAAATGGGGGGTCAGTCCTTGTGGTTTGTTTTCCCAAACAAGTAGATGTATGTTACCAAATACTGGTCTGGTGGGTCACTCAAATGCCATGTATTGTCAGTTACACCAACAGGGGGCAAATTAAATCATTCTAAAGGCTGCCTCGTAACATATGAATGATGTTTGTGTTGGAGAAACACTTCCCATTTCAGTGGTGTGCGAACATGCACGCAGACTTGACCAAGCACTTCAGCATATCCAATTGATTGATGAATTTTCTGGCAGACTGAAATAATAGCCGAGTATGAGTCTGCTTTGTTGTTGTTCATGTAAATACTGTACTAGGGGACCTTGACAGGTGTTTGCGCCAAAGTTAAATAAACAGCATGAGGGGCAAAGGCAATGTCGCTAGCCGTTATTGCCGACCTTTTGCGCTCATTGTATGGGCAGCGTGACACACGAAAAACACACTCTTATAATTACCTGTTTGCTTAACCATGCTTTAAGAGAGTTAAGGCACTCAGGTGAGGTAAAGCGCCGACAATGCATGTATATGAGTGGGTGCATACAATAGAGGAAATGATTTATTATATAGACTCTCACCTTGCTACATTTTCATGTGGCATAGGCTTAGAAAACTTTTGTTCAGATGTTATCTTTATCCCTATTGGTTCTTCTTCATATTTTGTGGGAGGGGCATGTCGGGTTTGTAACAGCAAATTACTGATCTTATTAGAGCTTACCGAAATCTCAACCAATGATGAGAAAGGTTTTGTTGTAGGTTAGGGGAGTGATTGACAAGTGGTTACCAGTTGGTTGGGAATAAAGTGGTTCCAGGCAACCAAACCATTTGCCGGATGTATTGCATGCGTAAAGTGCAGTTTTGTTTTACAATAACTCGAGAAATGAAGCATTCAATTGTGGCAAAACACTGCATGATGTTAACATTCAGTGTATAGACAGTAGCTCAAGCAGCTGTTTTATATTCAAATACATGTACATAAACTAGATTTTTGCTGTCTTTATTTTTTTTACCCTTAAGGCACTAACAATTCAATTTTCTGGTTCCGGCTGCTCTATTATTCTATTTTTACAGCAAAATTATCAGAAGTGTGGAATTGAATTGGTACTATGAGTATGACCTTCAGGAAAATTCAAGTGATAGATTTGCATCTAGTGTATTAGACAAACGATGTTGCCGATGCAAGAATAAGATTTGAATTGAATACTAATCAGAAGTGAAATACAATTTTTACCAATTCAAGGTAAACTGGTATTAATTAGATGCTTGGGTCAGCTGACTCAGCTACATGTACACATGTTCTAAGTCCATACTTATGTAATTCAAACATGAAGAATGACTTAAAAGTGCAAAGACAGAAAAGTGAAAAATTATTATTTGTAACACACCTGTAGATATATAGTGTCTAGTATCTACCTGTTGCAATTAAAGATACAGTATGATGCATCCATATTGTCAAGAGTAATAGTCTCTGCTATGTAGGGCACATTTGTTAGCTGACTCAGCTCTGTTGCAAAATTCTTTTGTCTACACTAAGTATTTTTCAAAAGCAATATGCACTGCTGCTTTCTACATGTCTGAACCTTTTGATATAGTCAGAGATGCCAACAGAAAGAGACTTGTATAAAATGACATGTAACGAAGGACTGTTTTTGTTCATAGTTGGCCATGGTCACACCACACCAACAAGACAACAGATTATCTGCAATTTCTACAAATTGCCATTTGGAAACATACCTAATATTTTACATTGGTGATTGTGAAAATGTAAAGCAAACCAAAATAATCAAATTCCCCTTGGCCTAGGGAAAAGATATCCTGATGTTCAAGGAATAAAATGCCTCTCAGTTTGAAAGCTGGGTTTATTAGGGTTTGTTTAGGCTCATTAAATATGAATGACGTACTTAATGCGGAAGGATGATTGTTGGGCGTGTTAGCAAGGCCGCCGGTCAGTACGCATTTTCCTCCATGTTTCCAGTTCACTGGAAAATAGGTCGTTGACCGGAAACCATCATTCTGATGAAATAGATACTACTAGTAGATTGCAACATAAGAAGAAATAAGTCGCAGAGAAATCTGCATTCATTCTGATGCAGTTTCTCTTTTTGGTTTGGAAATTGATATTTATTGTTTTACTTATAATGTAAAGACTGTTTTGGTATTACCCAAAGAACAAGTACTTTTGACAGCAAAGTATATGCAGCTTATACCAAAATTACCACATATATTATTAGATGTAGTAGAAATGGTACACTTCTTTTGAAATAGGTAAACTGTTGCACAAGAAATAGATTCCGAACAAAGTGGAATTCATTTAGTTGCTGTCATATTTGTTGGATAATGGACAATCCTTATTGTTTTTTTCAGTTTCTGTTACTATTAGCGATTTGCAATTTTCCTGTCAAAATGTCAAAGTAGCAGTGCAATTGCATAGTGGGTAAAGTGCTCAGTAAGTGTATTTGAGAGGTTTCAGAGTTTCAAAATGGTACAATGAGTCTCTGCTTAGTTACTTAGAAAGAATTCGGTATTTGAACACACAGTGGACTAGCATCCTACTGTACACAACTGTGTGGCCCAAGGGCTATAGAAATGGAGATGGCCACTGCCCTATGTACTGAAATGTACAGGAAAAATGTTGACTTTCCCCTTGTAATATGGTTTCTCTACCTCAAACTCCCCGTCAACGGCCAATGTCGTCACTTTCTGCTAATACAATTTACAGTCACTTGAATTTCGGAGACTACCTCAATTACTTCTGTGTCTCTTTCAGCCTGTCAGTCAGCTCAACCCTGTTTGAATCATTTGTCTGGGAGGCGTCTCAATCCTAACCTGGCCTAGATACCTTTCACTTCAGTCCCCACCTTTTGTGCTCTCTGATGACAAATGATAACAAACAGATGTTCAGTCAAGGCTAATCTACACTGTATTAAATCAATCACTTCTTGCCAGTCTATGGGCCAATAAAGCCTTTAGATCTGTTGTTTCAGGCAAGAATTACTGTCTGCCACAAGCCCTGTGCTCTTGAGCACTTAATTAGAACATTCTGCACCTGTGAGAAAACCAATTTTTTTTCACGGTTTTTGTTGGATGTTTGGTCAAAGTTGAATCAAAATTTTGTGCGTTGCGGACGATATCTTTTCCAATGCAACATTTGAAAACTATAGACGGGATGTCATCCTTAAATATGTAAATATAAGAATCGTTCGGCCGAAGAGGTATGCACGATACATTATGGGGTTTTGCGCAGGTGTATTACATTCTGCTGACATGCTAGCTGTACTCTTTAGAGACCATGTATGCTAGTGTCTGGAGAAGTTGATAGAACTTGACTGCTTGTTTGATTTACTTTCTATGATTCCGAAGAATGTATGATCAATTTATGTTGTAGTTTGCTTTATCTTATACTTTTCCAATATTTTTTTCAAGTACTGTAAAAGCATATTATCAACTTGATAATTATGATATGATAAGCAAATAAGATTATTGAATCCTGTTGTTTTTGAGTCAACACAAGTTTAAGAGAACAGATTATCAGAGTGCTAGATGCATGTATACAGTTACTGTCTTAGTATAATCCTTAATGATATGCCTCAGAGGAGAGACACTAACTGGTGGTACACTGCCTGTAGGGCTCGTGATGGTATCCAAGATGAAGCAAAGTTGTACGTACGTCACTACATGTAGCTGCCCAGAGACTGTGTGGGCTGTACGATATATCGTCACCCCTCGGTGACCTCCCGATGTTTCGCCAGACAAGAAGGCGTTTGTGTAAACTGGACAGCTGACTCCTGCTCCCAGCTATCTCCCGAGCATCACTCTGTATATAGACACAGACTGTACACAGTGGCCGACAATATGGCCTCGTAAATCCACGGCTTTATTCACACTTTACAGTTTTATGAGGTTGGCATAACCGCTGCTGGACGCCGAGCGATAAGTCGACGAGGCAGCGGCGACTTTGAAAGACTACGCGATGAGGGGCCTGGTAAAACTCAAGTCCTTCCTAAGGGCAGGGAAAACGCTGGAATTATCTTCCAAT